TTGCTGAAAATCAAAATGTCATCTAAATAAATCACAACAAATTTATCGAGCCACTCACGAAATAGTTCGTTCATTGTTCTTTGGAAAGTGGCAGGGGCATTTGTGAAACCAAAGGGCAAAACTACGAACTCATAATGCCCATACCTTGTTCTGAAGGCAGTCTTATGTTGGTCTTCCGTCTCAACTTCAATTTGATGGTAGCCGGATTTTAGATCAATCTTTGAGAGTACTTTGCTTCCCTGCATGCGATCCAGCAGATCGTCTATTCGCGGTAATGGTTCAACATTTTTCACTGTTATATCATTTAACCTCCTATAATCTATACACATGCGAACGCCGCCGTCCTTTTTAGGCACAAAGAGCACAGGCGCACCATAGGGTGAGGAGCTAGGTCTTATCCAACCATTTTTCAACAACTCATCGAGTTGGGTTCGCAGTTCATCCAATTCTTGGGGCGACATACGATAGAAAGGCCCCTTTGGGGGCGCGCTTCCTGAAATGATATCAATGCGATGGCGGATTGGTCTTTCCACCACACCGCTTAGGGCTTCAGCCACATCTGCGAGCTCTTTCAGGATCCTCTCAATCTCTTGGGACCTGACTTTTTCCTTTGTTTCTCTTTCCTTTACTGGGCGCACATATGCAACAAAGACTTGGTCATACAAGTTATGTTTCTTAACATGGCGAGCGAACGCTGGGGCACTCATACAACAGTGAGCTAGGCTGCTTTCCTTTCCAGATTCATGATAGAGGCGGATTTTCTTCTTACCTCCTTGCGGACTTGGAAGCCAACATTCATGTTCCCTTAACTTTAGATCCGCATGTGCAGCCTCACCCCAATCCATTCCTAGCAACACATCAAAGGGCAAGTTATCCTCCACCAAGAARGTCAGARAGTGGAGAACGCGTTCCACCTTYCCCTCTGCCTCTAGCCGAAAGTATACTTGTATTCCCTCGATGTATCGATCCATGACAGTTTCACTACTATTTGCCAACTTACTTACAATGGGCTCATCTAACTTCTTAACCTTAAGCCCAAGACGCAGTTTCTGCAAACCTCTTTTACTAATATAACTGCGTGTAGACCCGCTGTCTATTATACCTCCTACTCTAACTCTATTTATTTCCAGATCTGCAATTATTAGTTGTCCTTTCTTTTTTCGCATTTCAGTCCAGGCTTGGCGACGAGCGGCCAACTCATCACCCACGCCAGCGAGGGATCCATCTAGAGAGATGCATACGTTTGCCACCTCTGGACAGTGCACTAGATGGGGACTTCCTTCCTCTTCAGTTTCTGCCATTGGGGCCTTCGAATGGGAGACCGAGTTTCACAGCTTATATTATCAGAAATATGAATACAAAGTGTTTCAAAGTTCCCCTGAGTTCAACTCTCATCAGCGCAACACCAATCTCT